TCGCGATAGCGCCTATTTGACTCCGAGTCGGATTCTGAATCTTTTCTGATCCTTCGACCCTCTTTTTTCTTTATAAATAGAGATCGTTTTCCCTCGTTTCAATCACCAACAATCATCATCTAATCCTCTCTCTAAGCTAAAAACGTATTCTCTCTCTCTTTCTTTCTTAGCCTAGCCTAAACACATCCCAACACCATCTTGATATTCTCTCCAATCACACACCATACCTTCCTTCACGAGCCTTGAATACTCCAAGCCCTTCTCAAAATTGCCTTCGACCTCGACGTGAAAGGTTGATAGTTCTGAGGGTTTGGTCCCAAATCTATATTTCAATTATTATTTGATTTATTTGTTTGATTGATTTCTTTCTTGAAGTTACTAACGTGTGTATTATTTTGATAGAAAGAGGTACGAGGCATCAAAGTGAGTAGATCTACTATCCTTATTCCTCGCTTTTGATATAGAAATCATGCTTAGAATATTATTTTAATTCCTAGTATCATGTTAGGATGTTATTTTAATTCCTAGTATCATGTAAGGATGTTAATTTTGATCCCCGGTATCATGTTTAGGGTGTTAATTAATATTTCCAATATCATGTTGATTTGTAGTATCATGTTTAGACTAAAGCTTTAATCCTTATAATTTAGTGACATGTTAGGGTTTGTTATTAATCCGTTTAGTATCATGCCTAGGATCTTGCTATTAATCATGATTAATGATATTATGATGATGATTGTTGTGTTAATCATATGTTGCTTGATTATTCATGATTTATTGCTATTGCTTGATCACACCCTCTTCTGCAGGTTTTAAAGGGAATTTGTACTTGAAATCACGCCTAATAACATAATTAATAATTTTATTTTAGGCCTAATATGATTTTAATTCAAGTGATCGCCAATAATAGATTTATTTGTGCATTAATAATCAACCAACATAGATTAAACAAGTTTAGGGCTAACTTGTTGTATGTATGTTGATCGGAAAGCGCAGATAAATATCATAAGAATTAAGTAGAGGTCGATTTAGGGCGGTTCAATCTCTTTTAGGTTGGATTCGTACCATCATCCCCGAATATCCAGTCATGGTTCCGGACCACTATGGAGTTAGCGATCTCCGTGATCGTGAATGGGGTGTAACCTTCAAACCCGTGAACGGTTTACAAGTTCCTAAAACTTATTTGCGACTCTTTTATCTCTAGCTTCTTTCCCTTTGGACGCTACCATGCTTAAAAGCATGATCATAGTGGGCTCAAAGTTGATGTTTGAAATATTCCCTACATTTAGGGTGTTAATTAATATTTCTAATATCATGATCCTAATATCATGTTTAGGCTAAAGCTTTGATCTTTATTGTTAATGACATGCTAGGATTTGTCATTAACCCGTTTAGTATTATGTCTAGGATTTTGCTATTTATTGTTATGATGATGATTGTTGTGTTAATTATATGTTGCTTGATTATTCATATTTATTGTTATTGCTTGATCTCGCCCTTTCTGCAGGTTTAAAGGGAATTTGTACTTGAAATCACGCCTAATAAGATGATTAATAATTTGATTTTAGGCTAATATGATTTTAATTCAAGTGATCGCCAATAATAGATTTATTGTGCATTAATAATCAACCAACATAGATTAAACAAGTTTAGGGTTAACTTGTTGGTTGTTTGTTGATCGGAAAGCGCACATGAAAATCATAAGAATTAAGTAGAGGCCGATTTAGGGCGGGTTCAATCTCTTTTAGGTTAGATTCATACCATCATCCCCGAATATCCAGTCATGGTTCCGGACCACTATGGAGTTAGCGATCTCCGTGATCGTGAATGGGGTGTAACCTTCACACCCGTGAACGGTTTACAAGTTCCTAAAACTTGTTGGCGACTCTTTTATCTCTATCTTCTTTCCCTTTGGACGCCACCATGCCTAAAAGCATGATCACAGTGGGGCTTAGAGTTAATGTTTGAAATATACCCTACACCCATCCATTAGTTGGATGTCAAGAATGCTTTCCTACATGGTTATCACAACGAGACAGTTTATATGCATCAGCCGATGGGTTTTCGCGACAAAAGTCGCCTTGATCATGTGTGTTTATTGCGATAATCCCTCTATGGTCTCAAACAGGCCCCTCAGGCTCGGTATCAGCGATTTGCAGATTATGTTACATCTATTGGATTTGCTAACAGTAAATCTGTTAACTCACTGTTTATTTACAGACAGGGATCTGCTTATATTCTGTTATATGTTGATGATATCATTCTTACAGCGTCTTCTAACCGTTTGCGGAATCATTTTATGGCCCTTTTGAGTTTCGAATTTGCAATGAAGGACTTAGGTCCTTTGAGCTTCTTTTTGGGCATTGTTGTGACTCGCAATGCTAACAGTATGTCTTGTCGAAACAATATGCTGCTTCTATCATTGACAGGACTGGCATGTCAAATTGTAGCTCTTGCCCTACACCTGTTGACACGAAATCCAAGCTTAGTGCCTCTCATGATGCTCCATATGAGGATCCTACTAAGTATAGGAGTCTTGTAGGTGCTCTTCGGTGCCTGACTTTTACTAGGCATTTCATATGCGGTTCAATAGGTGTGTCTTCACATGCATGATCCGCGCAATGCGCATATGAGTGCCTTGAAGCGTATCATACGCTATTTACAGGGTACATTATCTTACGGTTTGCATATGTATAAGTCTTCCATTGATAAACTTGTCTCTTATACCGATGCAGATTGGGAGGGATGCCCCGATACCAGGCGATCTACTTCAGGTTATTGTGTTTTTATAAGTGACAATTTGATTTCCTAGTCTTCTAAACGCCAGCCTACATTATCAAAATCAAGTGCAGAGGCTGAGTACCGTGGTGTTGCTAATGTGGTTTCTGATTCATGTTGGATTAGGAATTTGTTACTTGAGCTTCGTTTTCCTATTCAGAAAGCAACTCTTGTTTATTGTGACAATGTGAGTGTCATCTACCTCTCTGGGAATCCGGTGCAACATCAACGCACCAAACACATTGAGATGCACATTCATTGTGTTCGTGAGAAAGTCGCAAAAGGCGAGGTACGAGTATTACATGTTCCTTCCCGTTATCAGATTCTTGACATCTTTACAAAGGGACTTTAACGGATTTTGTTTGATGATTTTCGTGCCAGTCTTAACATCCGTGATCCTCCCGCTACGACTGCGGGGGAGTGTTAGAATATATGATATTGATATTGTATATATTTAGTTTGGTAAATGTAAATATCTTTGCCTAGTTTGTAGCTAGTTAGTTTCCTAGTTTATCTCTTGTAATTGTGTATTTATACTTACGCTTAAGCAATGAGAAAGACAACGATCATTCTCTTTCATGGTATCAAGAGGCAGCCTGACACAAAGGTCACGGGTTCGAATCTCATCCACCCCTCCTTTCAAAGTGGAATATTAAACGCTGGGTATGGTGGGGCCCGTGCTATATCTACACTTCAAGCCCAATGGGCTCTCATGTGAGGGGAGTGATAGAGTATAAAACATATTGCTAGACCTCAACCATAAGCTTAAGTATTTTGTTGAGTTGGTCCTCTAACATTTAGTTTGAATTCTTATTGCCCAATGCCATGTTAGTAACACTTTTCATTATACGAACTTTTGATATAAGTTGTGAGTTGATTATTATCAATTGTTTTTATGATAGAATATAGTAGGTGTTCTTGCTTGTATGCTTATGTTTTCATGAAAATTTAATCGTGATAAGATTTTGTGGCTCTAAGAATGTAAGAAATAATATACTACGTATACTCTAAGAATAATGCATTATACTTTCCTGATTTTTAACTATATATAAACTAAAATTATTACAATTTATCTGAACTTATCTAAACTTGTCTTAACATAACTAAACTTATTCTAGTTAAACAAATTGGGTTTGCTTTTTCACCAAAAAAAAAAAAAAAAAAATAAATAAATAAAAATCTATTAGGTTGACCTTATTAAAACTTATTATTCTGAAATAAGTGAGATAAGGTGAACATGACAGAGTCTAACAGTTAAGACCATAAAAAAATAAATTAAAAGAATTAAAAAAAAAATAAAAAAAAAAAGTATTCAGATTATTTTGGAACAAACAATGAAAATGAATGTGGTCGAGCTAGATTTAATTAAAATGTCGTCGCTAATTAGCAATGCCTTACTACTCGTCAAAAAAAAAAAATAGCAATGCCTTACTATATTGAACTTTTGTTGTATTTTTCAAGTGGTATGATTAATGAGAATTTGATGTGATTAGAACTACATAGATGTGCCTCATGAATGACTGGTGATTCAAGTAGAAATGTAGAAAAGCTTCTACTAAAGTCTAGTCATACACGATACACAGTTTGTTGCATCAAACGTTTGCTTGGAAGTGAGTGGGATTGGGAAACTCACCCCCTTTTGATTTGAGACCACAAGTTTGAGTCCCTCAACTACATTTGCTTGATAGTAGAGGGATTCTATTACCTCCCTTCTTTACACTCAAGCATTAGTCTGCGTAGGTATGGGCTAGCTTAACTACAAAGTGACTGCAAAGTAACTTAAAAATGTTGACTTGACGTGTACAATAGTAAGTAATTCCATACAATGAGTCTGATACATATTTAGGTGTTTCTTATGTGTGTCAGTGTCAGAAACCGTGTCCAATACATGTATCATGTATGACAACTGTATGGTGTGTCCATGCATCACTACATCATAAGTAACCAACCGTGTCCAATACATGTATCATGTATGGAAATTGTATGGTTTGTCCATGCATCACTACATGATATATAACTCTGGTTAATGCATCACATTCCACACAAACTTGCCACATACCTTACATTAAGGTTAAGGTTAAGGTATTGTTTGGTTGATATTCAAATTCATGTGATGTCTAGTATCCTAGCTTAAGAAGTAAAAACAAAAAATATTACTTTGTATTTAGTTGACATAATGAGACGGATATACCTTTGTGGAAATTCTTACTTTCTATACTCACCTAACAATATTAGTCAATTCAAAGAAAGTGAAAATACATAGAACTTGCAAATACATCAGGATTGCAAATACAAGGGAAGACTGTAACTTCCCAAGTGCAACCAAACGACCAACGAGTATTTTTGTTAGTTTTTTTTTAGACCTTAGAATCCAGAACTCAAAGCTCAACTTCTCTTCCATGGACCCAACTAAAAGGAAAATAAGATGCTTGTTTTGCCCTCTCTCGAGCCCTATGGTCTATAACTCTAATTCTTTGAGGTAAACTACATACATATTCCTGAGCCTTACGCCCTTCAGACGAAAGACCAATAAGCTTCTCAACTTGCCAATAGCCCACAAAATACTGCATAACATCAGCATAGTCCTTGGCACTGTAAACTCCAAGCCGAGCAGCAACAGCAGCAAAGTGATCAAACAAATTGCAGTCGCTGCCATCATACATGAAATGGGCCGGCATAGAGATCTTCTTCCTCATCATATCAGCAAAAGCAAGGATGGTTGTGTCAGGATCGATTTCAAACAGTTTCTGCACTATTTTGCTGTAAGCATTTTCGTGGCGTTTCTCATCTGCAGCAATTATGCCACAAATTTGTGCTAGTTTCAGATCACCATGCTGTTTGGCAAGCCTTGCTGCATTGCCATGTGAAATGAATGTTTCCCTTTCTTGAAACGACGTGTATATGAATCCCAAATATGGATTGTTCTCTGTTTTCGGATCCTGCAATACAAAGACGTCCATCCAATGACAAAAATTTAGTACTTCTTTCAGTTACTTTTTCGATTTTATCGGGTAACATGTAGAAGATCAACTAAAAAACATCCTACATATTAACGAATTAATGTTAACTGATAAAGTATAAAACATATTTCTAGGCCTCAACCATCGGCTTAAACTATTGGTTGAGTTGGTTCTTTAACATTAACAATCCAAATCTTAACATAATTTTATGACCGAATTAAGGCTGTTTTACAAAACCCTGGTGTTTTCAGCATTATCATTAGTATGATAGGAATGTCGTCGTAGTAATTTTTAATAATAACAAGCAAGTTATAAGGAGATGATCGAGCTCACTTACCATTCCTGACCCAATCAAATACTGGATCGTTTTCTCGATGGCTCTCATATCAACACGACCAGAGAGATACAGATATTTGTTAAGAAGATCACCATGTCTGTTTTCTTCAGCAGTCCAAGCTCTAGTCCAAGTTGCCCATGAAGTCGGACTAGAACCGGTTTCATCTCTGACTCCATCCGATGTATTAAGCATTGTCTGGTAAGTTGGAAGAGCATCTTCTGTAATCATATGTCCTGCCAAAACAACAAAGAAATCATCTGGAATCTCATTGGCTCTCTCCTGCAGCTCTTTGGTTTGATCGTAAAAACCCTGTGAAGTTGCATCAGGTAGAAAATCCTGAGGCTGCCAACATTTTTCAACAGGTTTTAAATACATCAAAAGACTCTCTTCTGCCCAATTTTCCAACGATTTGAAGATCTCAATCTTTTCGGGTGCCATAGAATGTGCTACTTGATTAATAACCATCTCGCGTCCTGGGCTATAAGGCTTCTTTAGACTTTCGACTCCCCTGTACAGAGGAACATTAGCAAATTTCTATGAGAAAATAAAATCCATGTGCGATGTGCCTTAATATTCTTGTGCACCATGGCTACGATGCTCAAGATCTTCGATCAATTGATCACTTCAAGCATCCATGGCTTATTTACCACTTCAATTTTTAGATACGTATCACATTTTACACTTCATATTAGAGCATATTCCCTCTGTTTGTGATTAATTGTTACACTTTTCTTTTTCATCCAGTAATTATTATTAATTGTAACACTTCTTTATTTGTTAAATATATACTATTTTGGATTACTATTTTTATGTACCATATCCTTTATGATCAACATGTAAGGATCAACTCACTAACCTCACATGCATTTTTCAACAGGTTTTATTTACATGCATGTTTTGGATTACATGTTTCCCATATCTTTTACAATCAACATTTTATTTTCTTAAAAAGGGAAGTCTACATTACAATTCATTCATCAGCAAAATATCATAATCCACAAAATTTCCTCACCACCCTAGGAAACTTCATAAATCAACACTTGCTCTAACACTGTCGAAACTAGAAATAATTAGCTTGCTGGGACATGATCAACATGCTTACATATTTATAATCATCACAAGTTCACACTACTTGAAATTACTAGTGGACAAGGACATTAATAAAAATTTGAAATTGAGGAAATAAATTATTGAGTATAGGCCTTTAGGAACCGAATAATGAGTAAAGTTCGATCTACTAATTTAAAGCTTAAGGAGGTTCGTTCCATCTTAAAATAAATGGCAATGGGAGGAGTTGCTCCTAGAGAAAGAGATTAACTTACTTAGGAGAGGAGTGGTCGAGAGTAAAGGTCATGCAGAATTTCGAAGCTTTGACATTGAGAGTGCTCACTTGTGGGAGAGTGTACAAACTTAGAGCCATTGTTGTTTGCATGCTTTACGTGTTCTTCAGTAGTTCTGATCACAATTAAGCAAATCTTAGGCTAATGAAAACACAAACGTTGAAGGTAGATGAAATAATGAAACACATTGAAGTTCTATGATGTTAGATTAGTCTTCGAAATGGGCTTAAGTATAGGCTCACTAAAGATTTGAATACAACATATATAACTACTTTATCAAATATTAGACTCTAATAATTCAACACTTAACAATAAATTCTGATAGAGTTATGGGAAAGAAAATGTTGGAAAGCTTACTTATACATGATGAATATACACGAGTATATACAAGATATTAGAACATTAAACATACCGAACTATGACTAGATACAATAGATGACTAGGTACGTTAGCTAATTATAAGGGATATACTTAGACTATCAAACTTAAGGAGTAAATCAAGGGATTTACATATTCTAAACAATAACTAATAAAGATGATATTTATACGCCCCCGCAAGACGGACATTCGGAATGAGAGACCGATCTTGGATATAACATCTCAAATCTTGTTCAATGTAGGAACTGAAGTGGTGGTAAGAAAGGTTGCATTACATTGTGATTCTCCAATAAGATTTGGAGGGAGTGGAGCATTAGAAGGGTTTTTTTTTTATTTTTTTTAAAAGGAGATAAAGAGAAAGAAAGAAATGTTTTTTTTTTTCGATGTTGTAGATAGATAAGGTGTTTATAAATGAAATAGGGTATTTGTGACATGAGGAAAAGGAAAAGGAAATTAAAGGCGGAAGAATAGTTACTCTCATAATGAGGAAAATAGTTACCCAACCATTACCTCCACAATGAGGGTACTAGACTTAATAGTTACCCTATCTTCACTTATCACAACACTACCATTACATAAACTCCTTGCAAACACTTCATCACTATCTCCTCATCCCCCGTATTTACTTTCATCATGATTGTTTTGTTTAGTTTGACTTTTATTATCCTAGTAACACATTAATCTCAATCCGAACATGCCATAAATGTAGAGAAGTGACTGAGGAGAGACTAGTACCAAAACAGATGAAGCAGCTAGTAATGTAGACTTGTAAGTTGTGAGTTGTGGGTGAAGAAGGGGTAAGGTTTGAGTGATGGTTGTGAGTTCAGACTTGAGAGTACTATATATGGATCGGAGGAATGTCACATCAAATTAATTTGAATCAAATAAATTGGAGGCCTAACAAGGTGGTAGTGAGTTGAGAGTACTAATGTGGAGTAACAAAAACTTCGGATAGGAGGAAGAATTATAGAATAAGGAGTTGGTTATTGGGTGTTTTTCACGGTTTTTAAACACTAGCGTGTGCTTGCAACTAATGGGAGAAAAAAAATATATAGAGAGGTTTCTTCACCACCATAAAGGCATGATAGAAAAATCATAATGGTGGTGATAGTGGTTTAGACCGAATGTTATGTTTCTCCATAATGGTTTTGGAGAGAGAATTTCATATTTGGTAACACATGGTAGGTAAACTATGGGATACCGAAAAGGGATTGTTTCTCCGTGTAAGGAGTTTGGAGAAAAAAAAAATTATAAATGGTATCTCTTGGTATATAAAATACGGGGTGCCAAAAGAGTTGAGCGAAAAGTGTGATTTTGGTTTGAAGCTTTCCGAGAAGGAAGTTTGATATGTTCACCATCATTTGTCGCCGTCGACAAAGGGTTTTGATAGTGTATTGCCATGGTAGTAGCGGAAGCAAGAAAATATGGATCAAAAGTTCATGATACCATGATAGAGTTATGAGAAAGAAAATGTTGAAAAACTTAATTATATTGATGAATATACACGAGTATATATAGTACAAGATTAGAACATTGAACATATCAAACTATGACTAGATACAATATATGACTGGGTATGTTACCTAATTATAAGGGATATACTTAGACTATCAAAATTAAAGAGTAAATCAAGGAATTTACATATTCTAAACAATAACTAATAATGATAATGATTATATTTTCATCTTTATCCTTTATAAATTCATGCTAAAATTTGTGAGTCGAAGTGTAGTTGAAACGTTTGTTACATATATGAGTTGAATTGTGAAACGAGTAATGAAAAAGAATTAGACTTTTAAATATCTTATTTAAGTAACTAATGAATCATAAACATTTAGCCATGCAATATTATACTGTGGGCTGTTCATCGGTCCAAGACCGGACTGGATCGAAGTACGAAAAATTAAATTTTTAAGAACCGAAAATCGAGCCAATTAAGCCAGGACTGATCTCGGACCAGACCGAAAAAATTGGTCCAAAACTCGGACCGGACTAGTTTGGACCAATTTTAGAATTTTTATAAAAAAATTCCTAAATTTTAAATAATTTATGTAAAACTCGAAAAAAAAATAAAGGAAAAACAATATTTTAACACGTTTTTTTTTGTATGTTTAGTATAAAAAAGCTCATACGACTAAAGTTTTTAAAGCTTGTTAAGGATAGTCTTAATTATTATTAGAGGTTTTATGTATAATTTTTAGCAAAAAAATCGGTTCGGTCCAAGACCATTTTTATAGGGTTTGGGACCAGACCAGACCGGAAATCGGACCGATTAATTTGGTTTGGTCCGGTCATAGGTCGGTCTGGACCGGTCCGGTCCATTTTTTCAATCCGGGCCAATTTTTGAACACCTCTATTTATACATGGTGATATATAAAGAAAGAAATAAAACGGTGTTGATCATAAGTTAATCACCTTTTTTTTGAAAGAAATAAGTTAATCACCTTTGGTTCGTCGTTTATTTAATTTGAAGCCTAGTCGCGGGACGCATGTGTTGCACTTGTCATCTGCACAATTGTATCGTATAATGTTGTTTACTATGGAGTAAGTCATAGCCAAACCATAGAAATTAAAAATTGGTGTTAAAAACGACAAAGTAGTTCTACTCTCTATAATATTCGATTTCATAATCATTGCAAATCCTATTTCCACAAGCAAAATGCAAAATCTGGTTTCTAATCTACAAAATGTCTTTGTTCTTCATTAAGGGTTTAAAGATGAAAATGAGGGTTTGTAAATAGTTATTATTAATTTACGAAACCAAAGCTAAGTTGCATTGATTTCATGTATTATGCCTTCGATTATTACTGAAATTATATCATTATTATAAAGAATTAGGGTCCATATGTCATTTGGCTGTTTCTTAAATTCAAGTTTTGATTCTAAATTAAGAGGTGTAATTATAAATTGAGCACGTATATGTATTCAAAAAATAAATAAATAAATTGAGCACGTATAATAAGTTCAATATAAAGTTAATCAATCCCTTAATTTAGAAAAATGGAATCAATTTGAACAATTCCCAAATTTAAGATAAACTATAAGAGAATATTGGAATAACAACTTATAATACATGTTTATCAACTTGACTATCTTTGCTGTGTCAGCTCAAATAAGGCTGAATCTACTATTTAATGATGTTTTGCCCCAACCTAATTCTATATATTGTTTTAAAAAAAAAATTGTAGTTAAATCTCAGAAATAAACGAAGGAAGAAAAGGGTAAAATTTATGAATGGGCCCCACTTTCCCGAAAATTTGGACGGAATAGCAATCATGAAAATATAGAAAATAAAAAGTGCAAAAACAAATGTTAAAGGTCAATAAACTCAAAACCGGTTAAAATAGAGGTATAGACGTATAGTCGTATAGATAATCAAAAGAAAAGAAAAAAAAAAAATCCAAAGTGTACGTAAGGAACAAAAGAGAACAAATGCACCTATTACATACTCTTTCAATTCCTTTTACCCTGTCCCAATTAAAATCTTCAAAACACCAAATGACATGGAGTAAATAAAAACGAATAGAGGGATTAGGTAAATTAAGTACTCTATAATCTATAAACTATACTAATTTTGCAACACTAGAAACATTAATTGTCAAATATGATCAAGTAATAGTTAGTATTCACTAGAAATATTAATATTACCTCTGTTTCATAATATTTGCAACAATTAAACATTTTTCACTCACACTTTATGCAAATCGTTGTAAATAATATGAAACGAAAGTAGTATATACAAATTGATCAAATTGAATCTAATGATAAGGCTGGGTGGATCACTAAGTTTACCTTAGACGGTAGTCGAGGTAGACACAACAACGCCATGACATGAGTGTGAGGTGGTGGCAAAACCAATCTTCTTTAGCATTATTGTATGACGAACATGTACACCAAACTAAAGATTGGACTTCAAAAACATGCATGAAATCCCTTATATCAAAAACCCATAAAACAATTTTATTTGTTTTTTGATTAAATGAAGCAATGCATGATGTATTTAATCAAACACTTGGCAAGAAATTTGTACAGTTACATTTGACCAACATGCAAAATGACACAGATATTAATTGACTATGCATGGAAATTCGACAAGTTTGGAACTAATTGAAGATATACACCTGAAAAATCTCTAATATTTTGTGTTTGATAATAATCTTCAGAATGCTGAAAATATAAGAGGGAACATGCTATACTTATATTATTTCTGAAATTCTACACTATAACCCTTTAGTATTGACTTTTCCAAGTTGTGCTCCTTTCTTTTGAAAGTTACACTCTGTAACCTTCAACTTACAATTATGTATCAATAGTGACCTTACCGTTATCTTACCGGTAACGGTCACCGTTAGTGGGGCCCACTTTACACCTATTAAAAAAATTCTCGATTTTCGTGCTGAAAAATATTCCGTTAAAGGTTTTAGGGGTCATTTTGGTCCTTAAGGATCAAAATTGAGCTTGGAGGGAAAAAATATGTAAAAGCTCTGTTTTGTGAATTCGAATTTCTACAGTTAAAAGAATAATGAGAAAACAGGGCATTTACGTTATTTTTTAACCAAATCCGAGCTGAATTTGGATCCTTAAGGGTTAAAATGACCCTTTAAATCTTTAACTGGACTTTTTTAGCACGCAAATCAAGAAAAAAATATTAGTAGGTGTAAAGTGGACTCAACTAACGGTGACTGTTAATGGTTAGGATAACAGTAAGGTCATTATTGATACATAATTGTAAGTTGAAGGTTACAGTGTGTAACTTTCAAAAGGAGGGGGCATAGCTTGGAAAAGTCAATACCAAAGGGTTATAGTGTAGAATTTTCTTTTTTTTATTATTATGAAAATTTCTCTATTTATATTTTAATGCAAAAAGATGCCGCTCTATAATTAAAAATAAAGGGTTAAACGGAGTAATTGTGGAAGAGGACATGCATGCATGTGATTGCAGACGTAGCAGCTGATCAAAATGACAATTCAAACTTTAAAACCAGGAAGCCTGTATCCACCACAAAGTTACGTTAATTCTGCTGCATTTACGCTGAAAGTTGCATCAAAAAAGGAACATCAAGCTAACAAGGAAGTAACTAACTGACAAGGACATTTAAAAAATTATGAAGTACATGCAAGTATACAACCGATCATTGAAATTAAATATCAATAACAATGTCAAACAAAGAAAAAATACATGGTATATGTTAATATTTCATCATTAGAATTTGTACTCCTCAATTTATTTTCACGCAGTGGCAAAAATCGCAGACGCACCACCTTTGGGTGGTTTAAAATAAAACTTCAGTCGTGGTGGTTAGACGACGGTTACAAGTCAATCTATAGCCTACAATCAAGGCTATACTTTGTACTTTGTACTCCGTATTTGATTATCCTACCCAAACCTATATACCTAGAATGACAAAATTATACTATGACTGGAATCAGATCAACCATTCAACCCAAACAGAAAACAACCTTAAAATCAATCCGAACTTACTCACCTGAATACACCCAAACCAAACTTGATCCGAATGACCCATTTGGCAGGTGCTACCACTAGATTGTCTCAAAAAATAAAAATTAAAGAACCAAAGAGGTTCTAGTGAATCTAGATTCTTTAATCGTGCAGAATCCAGCTCACTATAATGTCAGACAGTAACTGCCCCAACAGTGTGGGACCTGCTTGATTAGGGCTTCCACTCTGTAGAAATAGGGAGGCATTGACAGTTGACATGCCATTACAAATTCAGACTCATGCCATCGCATATTGCAAGGCTAACATTTACAACAAATGCATCCTAACAATTGAATCACGAGTTCACAACTTTCACTCGATAGTCGATTCCCGATGTATACAAATAATCACAATGGTTTAGGGACTAGAGTAAGTTTACGATAATGTTTCCAAGTTAACAGCATCTGAAGAGTAGCACATGTCATACCCTAAATCCATCACATTCAAAATTGCTATATTAGAATTATTCAGTAACAAAAGACTAGAAAACAAATACAATACGACCTATGAATCCATTTTAAGTTCAATATAGACGTTTACTAACCTCCCAATCATACGAAAGATTTGAGGTAAAGAAAGAAATAAACGTATCTACACGCAGCCAGACTCCCTCTAAACAAAATCACTTTGGGGCACATGAGCACATCTACCAGATCAGCATGAAAATAATTGTTCCTCTAACAAACACACCTCAGCTTACAAGCTCCTGCCACTAGGAGAGTGCTAATCTTCAATCAATAAGGGTTCAGACATCAGGAGCTCAAAGCTTGACCTGTCTATCACAAATCCAACTGAAGGGCATAGTAGGTGCTTGCTTAGCTCTCTCCCGAGCCCTCTCTTCCAGCTTTCTGATTCTTGGGGGTAAATTGCATACATAGTCCTGAGCCTTTTGTCCCTCTGATGAGAGGCCAGTAAGCTTCTCAACCTCCCAACGGCCGACCAAAAATTCCAATATGTCAGCATAGTCCCTTGCAGTGTAGACTCCAAGCCGCTGAGCAACAGCAGAAAAATGGTCAAATAGATTGTCATCACGGCCATCATACATGAGGTGGGCCGGCATAGAGATCTTCTTCTTCATCATGTCAGCAAAAGCAAGAACTGTTCCATTAGGATCAATTTCAAAGAGTTTCTCCACTATCTTGGTGTAAGCGGTTTCATGTCGTTTCTCATCTGAAGCAATTATGCCACATATCTGTGCCATCTTGAGATCCCCGTGCTCTTTGGCAAGCCTTGCACTGTTTCCATGGGATACAAAGGTTGCCCTTTCTTGAAATGATGTGTACACAAAACCTAGATAAGGATTGTTTTCAGTCCTAGGATCCTGCAGACATATTATAATTATAGAAGGTGACAAAGAAGAAAGAAAAATCTGCGAATAAAACTAACGAAAAACAATGTCTTTGTGTATCAAACAGCATGGACGGGCTAGTGTGTGATCAATTTCTATAACCCCAGCAGAAAGGTAAAGCTAACAGCATTGGGTTTCACTTAAGAATATATAGCTCACTATATATAGATTGTGGAATAATTATCTAAGAAATCATTCCTTTTCCACCCCTTCTTCCAGAGAGAGAAGATCCCCTAATACATAAGAACAAAACCCGAAAAACAAATGAAAGAAAAACAAAATGTAGAAGGAGAGCAGAAATTGAGGAAAACAGGATTGATGGGATAAAAAGATGGAGTTTTAATCCACTTTAAGTATGAGGAAGATCTATTACGGACTCATACATGGTTAACAGGAAGTTATTTTAGGATGAAATACCAGGAAAAATTTGCTTTTACCTAAAAAGTACAGTAACAACATTTGATGACTTCTCTAAACTGCCTCAAAATCTTTCACTTATCTTACAAATGGTTAACCCTGCTTGCACAAGTGCAAATTAAGAATACCTTTGGAAGATGTGTGTCTTTCAAGAAGTAACAACACTCCAATGACTTCCCACACACAGTCCCTATTGTTAATGCAATTTGCAAATTCTGAAATAAAAAAAAGTTTTAGATGAACATAAACTCACCATTCCTGACCCAATCAGATATTGGATTGTTTTCTCGATTGATCTCATATCCACTCGGCCAGTAAGATAGAGGTATTTGTTGAGAAGATCACCGTGCCTATTTTCTTCAGCCGTCCATGCTCTTGTCCAGAGAGCCCATGAAGTAGGACTGGCACCAGTTTCATCCTTGACTCCATCCAAGGTATTAAGCATAGTCTGGTAAGTTGGAAGAGCTTCTTCTGTGATCATGTCCCCAACCAAAACCACATAGAGATCATCTGGGATCTCCTTTGCCCTCTCTTGGAGCTCCTTGACCTGATCATGAAAACCCTCTGAAGCTGGATCAGGAAGATAATCTTGAGGCTGCCAACATTTCTCAACAGGTTTCAAATGGACCAGGAGATTCTCTTCCGCCCAACCTTCTAGAGATTTGAATATCTCTATCTTTTCTGGTGGCATGGAATGTGTTACTTGCACATGCACCTCACGTGGAGGGGTAAAAGGCTTCTTCAAGCTTTCTGCTTCCCTACAATGAGGAGAAGCAACTTATTAAACGAAGTTCTGACTACAATATCAAGCATCATTACGACTCTACAATTGCAAATAGCCATAAATAACAAGACAGACAAATATACTTTGTATCAGATTCAACATGCTAGCATCCCGTTCAAAATAAGTTACAAGAGAGTTTGTATATCAGCATTGAAGCATGCTTGTCATTAAGTTTCTGACTGAAGACTATAGCAAGCATCAGAAACAGTACCAGAGTATCAACTATCCAATTATGGTATATGATCATATTGGCTAACAGTCTTAACTTTTCAGCACAAATGAGCTTTGCAATGTGCTTACTGTTCAAACAGTAACAATCAGGTACAGAAAACAAAGAGATTTAGAGCTCAGCTCACTGTTTAAAACATCTAATCACTCTAAATTCAATTACTCATAGGATGTGCAAATTATAACAAGGAGCTGGTCAATAATGCCTTCATGCAATTTATGATTAAGTTGTCCTTGTTTGGCCCTGCAACTTCTTTTCAACCTCTTCTGGTCTTAGTTCGGTACCTCCTGCTTCTCCTTTTCTGGCGACAAACAGAAGGAGAGTTACAGGACCTGTTCAGCACGCTTGTACTCTTTGTAGAACAAGTACGCAAACTACCCCCAAAAAGATTATGAAAAATATTGATCTTCCAAGAGGTCTTTCCTACTGCAAAGAGGAAACTAGTCTATAATCTATGTACTTATAAAGCATTGTGCTTGCAGATTTAACACCAGCACAAACCCATGTTTATTTTACTACCTATTTCTGGTTTTCTACATTTCTTTCTAACATAGTTTTCATGGTCCACATAAACTCTTCCCATCTCAGCATAGATACCATGACTTCATGGATCACCTGAACTTCTGACTCAATGGCATAAAAAAAACTAAGCAAGTGAATTATTAGTGTCAAATGGGCCTCTGATCTAAAGCAGAAAGTTGACTCGAATTCCCTTGGTCTCCTTTTTTGGACTTCTGATCCGACTTAAATTTTTAAATTCATGTGTAATCATTACTTCAATTACTCCTTGTTCCGTACACTGATAGTCAGCCAATTTGTCCTCACTTTCAATTATTTGAATACTTGTTCTTATCAGTGTATACATAATGTCCACTGTCCAATGCCTAGCATATAATGAATTTTTATATGTTTATCAAATATTTTTAGTCATGCCATTCATTTTAATTTATTTTTTTTCACTCATTTCCATACTCCTGCCTGAAACACATAACACAAGAAAAGACAGAGAGATCCCTGTGTCAACACAAGAGACTGCCAATTTCAACTTCCAACTCCCAGAACTCTAAAGCCTTTCAAGATGGGGTGTGGGAAAAGCTCCAACAATTCTACAAATGTTAGGGTATGAGGCCATATCGAGTCATTGGCCGATAATTTGCAATATTTCCAACTCCATATGTTCCAACAAACATAAGATGCTATGTGCATTTCTCCTCTCATTTTAAGCTAAAACCAAAGAAAAACTGTAAAACAAAGGAAATGTTCTTTTCTGTTCCAAGAAGATAGTGTTAATTACTCTCCAATAAGAAGACAGAGACATGTGGATGCTGCTTTATTATTATCTAATTTACCTGACCATATACACAAACATCAACATCTTGCCAATCCCAGCAGATTAAATACGTAGTATGTCGGGAATACAGAACCATAAGATGAAAAACAATCACTCTCTGCTTAATATACAGGTCTAAATGACTTATCTCATTACTAAGGTGCTTTTCAGATTAGCATGAAGATATAATAAATACGCGATTGCTATCAAAACTCACAAGTATAACATCCACACTCCTTGAACAATGAAGAGAAGAATAAATGCATCAACCACCACAACACTTTTGGCGGAAGAATCAAACCAAAGCCTCAACAAATTTGAAAAGCTAAAAGTCTTCCAAAACTCAAATGAAAATAATAAAATCTTCCAACCTATTCTCCAGCCCCAACCACCAGAAATTGACCACATAAACAAAACAAAACAAAAATAAATGAAATAAACTAAATCTAGTACCCAATACCATGGAAGAAAAATCAGAGCAACCCACCCCATTACCCCAACCACTAATAAATATCACATCTATTATACAACATAATTAATTAAACAATCAAAAACTTAGAAAACATATTAATAAATCATGAATATATAAATAAATTTATTAAAAAAAGATAATACAATATATAAAGCTGCTGTTGCTGTATCAGTTGCAGTGAATTTCAGAGATACCCGCTTGAGAAAATCGCAATATAAACAAACAAACAACAGGTGACATGGCATGAAAACGATGGGTTCCATAAAATCGCATAATAATTAAAAATTAATATTACCACAAGCATCAAATTAGGGCAAAGTGGAAGAACAGCCCACAAAAATGGGAAAAAAAAGAGAGAGACCCAAATCAAGAAAATGCCATAACAATAGTTAATCGTCAAAAATCACACAAATCCAGAATAACACAATCATATTATTGACATATAAACATAAAAAAGAACGAAGAAAAATGCAATTAAAAGGCCATAACAAGAAAATCAAGAATACCCAAATCAAAAACTAGTGCAGTATCATCAAAAATTCCAAAACCCCAGAAAAATTACAATCATATTATCAATAAATAAGCAAGAAAACGCAGAAAAAAAAAATTGTTGAGGAGAGAGAAAACTGACTTAGGAGAAGAGCTGCTGAGAGTGGAAGCCATGACAAATTTGGGAGATCTGACATTGGGCAATCGACGAGTAGAGAAAGAAGGTAATCGACGACATTGGAATGGAGAAGAAACAGGATTGAGATTGAGAGCCATTGTTGAATTTTTGTGGTTTTTTGGTTACGAAATGCTGTTGGGTTTGCTTTTCTGGGTTCACAGCCACAAAATACAAGTAGAAGAGAGAGAAAATGGAAATTACTCGAATTAGAAAATAATATGCTAAAATTTTTCTTTAAAAAAATTGTTTCGACAGTAATAATACTTTTGCTACTAGGGTATGAAATTGGCGTATACTTGTAGTTTACAAACAAACAAACAACAAATGCCGATGTATATAAATTAATAAATGTCTCGATTTATTTTTTACGAGCTGCTTAGGTTAATTTCCAAGGTTAATATTTATAATTTATTTTTTTTATTCAAGAACAGTTTATTTCATCTCACAATTAAATACATCTATTTCCGCGCCACTTAATAAAATAAAAAAATGATTAAATTCTACCTTGTGATATGTTTGCAAGTTTATGTTAGAGTACGAGATAAACTTGGATATTACCATTTTTTTATGCACTCATAGGTAATTAAAAAATACTCTATTGAATCAGAAATTATTTTTTTTATCTACTATGTAATAGGTAAAAAGAGGCACCCTAATGAAGGTTATGGTCTGAAAAGGAAATCTCTTGTTCTTACATTTAAATGATGTTATATTATGATATAAATGTTTGTACAATTATTTAAAGTAATTTAATAGGTGGAGAAAAAACGGTTGATGAGTAATAAAAGTATAATAGGAATTGGAAAATAAGTAGTAGTGCGTTTAAGTTACTCATTAAATTAGGCTCTCTTTTAAATACGTAGTATAACATATATATTATAGTTAGGTTGGTGTGATAAAGTAAATGATGTAGTTGCATAAATTAAATGGTAATTCATTTGCTTTGCTTTTCAAGTCTTAAATAACACATCCATGTATATTTTTAAAGTGAAGTAGCTTAGGAGTAACATGAGACCTTCAAAATCTTTTTCTCTCCACCTACAAAAAATTTAAGAAAATTAATACACATATTATTAAAGATCTCTAAACAAGGAGTAACCATTTTTCTAATCTTGTATAAATGTTTGCCAAAGAAATGACTTGTAATACACTAAAATCAAATAACTCAACTTGACTAAATTAAACCCCGGCCCAAACTCTACTCGAAATAAATCACTTGATTTTATTTTAACCTAATCCAAACAAACCTAACTAGATATGAAATCAATATCTCTTATAATGGTTATTTTATTAAATTTATGCAGATTCAAAATAAAAATAAAAATAAACCAAACTAGACTAAACTTGAAATCAACCTAAATGTATGCATGCTTTAATCAACCATGTTAATAAAATTTATTGTATCATCAATGATCAAACTAATGCTTATTTTAATCATTAAAAGGCATACATTGTTGTTCTTGATTTTCCTTTGAATATGGATTAATGAAACTAGTACTTAATATGGATTTTCCGCGTCAAGTTGCCTTATGGAAATCCCAGCAAGGGGATCACGCCTCTGCCTGGTTTCGGGCAGTCCCAATATCAGGTTTGGGTTAGACTATGAATGGTAAGGCTTATCGTTGTGTTCTTTGCTACCAGTTGGATGTTCCTTTGTTCTCCGTTTTGACACCGTGTTCCGCTTGCTCAAAGTTTTTTGATGGCGATATTTTTGGGGATCATGAAGTGTCCTGTGCTGGGATAGTGGGTATTAAACATCAGCATAATGTTGTTCGTGATACCCTGTTGATATTTGTTTTCGGTCTAAGATTTCTACAAAAAAGGAGGTTGACGATGGATTGACTGAAGGGAATGACGAGACTCTTCGACCTGCAGATGTGTTACTTTATTCCTGGGACAGAGGCCTTGATGTGTGTGTTGACTTGACGAGGTCTCACTACTAGAAAACAGGCCATTTCCGACGGAAAAATTCCGTCGAAAACACCCTGAATTCCGTCGGAAAACCCATTTCCGACGGAATTTCTGTTGGAACAGGTTGTCGTTGTAACACCCCCAAATCTCCCTCTACGGGATATGTAGAAAATACGTATAAATACCGTAGAGATAAACTTTGGCGTATTACCGCCGCATAATAACGCAAGGCTTATATTTCAAAATGCTTTTGCAGCGGAAATTCTTTATTCATTATTAATAGTACTTCAAATAAAACTATTCATAAATCATGACACAAAAAAAAACAACTCAAACTGTTCCTAAGCTAGGTGAAATTCTCGTGGACTCCCATATGCATCAATCAACTTCCACCTGAAAGGTTCACCTGCTTACCATTATGGTAAACAGGGCAAAGCCAAAACCAAAGCACGTATTAGCAAATTATGCTAAGTAGATTATGTGGGAGATAAGTAAAACATTAATTAAAACACGTACGTTTAATTTCAATAATTCCAACACATTCTTTCTAATATCATACTCATGCAAGAACTTTTACAATTCAATTCTTTTCAAGACAAGTTTAAAACGCAATCGATTATATTTCAAAATCAATTCCTCACTAAGTGTGCACACCCCCCAAGTGGTTTACTTTCTGAACAAAGGCCAATCTTGAGGAAAGACTAGGTCATGCAAAGTCCATAGCCTTCTCTAATCCATTCCCTAAGTGGGATTCATAACATATTGATTGATTTGCTTAAAAGCGCCTTTTAAAATCTGTTATACTTGAATAACAATAAACTTGTAAATCGTTTTTAATCCAATCCTTTTTAATAATTTCAATCACGATTCAAAGTCTCTTTTGTTTTAATCAAAATCATTAATTTCAATCCATCATACAACATAATTTCATAAAACATAATTTCATACGGAACGTAATAACATAATTTCATACGGAACATAAAATATAATTTCATACGAAACAATATAATATAATTTCATACGGAACATAATAAAATATAATTTCATACGGAACATAATAAAATATAATTTCATAAAACATAATAAATCATAATTTCATAAAATGTATATAAACATAATTTCATAGACAACTTTCGAAGGTATCAAACCACATCATGTACCTTGATCGTAACACGAGCGATTCACACAATTACTTCACTTCACTTAATCACGAACACCCTACACATTGTTATAACCTTAATTAATATAAGGCTATCAAATAAGCACAACAACTCAACCAACCTATCCTATATGTGCATGAATTAATTATGATTTATTATTACATTTTAATAAAATAATTTTCTATTTTTATAAATTAGTTTATTTAATAATATATATGAAATTCGATTATAAATTTTAGAAATGTAAAACAAGTTTAGGAGAAAGGAGAAATTGAAGGACAAAGATGGAAACCAAGGCAAGGGAGGAAGCAAGGTGGCCGACCGTGAGAGGTGGTGACTGTTGGCAGTGGTGGCTGGTGGTCGCCGGTGAGGGCCGCCGGTGATGGTGGTGGCCGAAAGTTAGAGGGAGGAGAAGAGGAGAGGAAAACCATGAGAGAGAGAAAGAAAGAGAGAAGAAGATTTCTTGAGGTTTTTGGTGTGAGTCTTGGGTGTTTAGAAGGGGTAATTATAGGTGTTTAGGTGATGAGTTTATAGCAATTTAGGGTTGTATGAATTATGGTAATTTCAAAGGATGGAAATTAGGGTTTTAAGGGTTTAGGAAATAATTAAATGTATGGAAGAATATTAGATTTTATTTGGTCATGAAATTTTTGTTTAGCAAGTTTTGAGCTTAGAGTGCAAGTATAGAATAAGATCAAATAAATTCTAGATTTAAGAGTGGAAATAAGGAATATTAAGGGATTTTTATTTTTAATAAAATGAATTAAAATCATTTAAAAAAAAACATGAGTGGCCGAAAATATTGAGCTAAATATTGCTCAATAATTTTGGTCCCTCTATGTTAGTTTTATAGATTTTGTAAAATAATTTTTTTATGCCTAAAATTAATAATCCAATAAAATTTATTTTGTGAAAATTAATAATTGGAAGATAAAATGAGATTTTTATTTTAAAAAAACCGAAAAATATAATGAAGAATTTTATTTTTATTAGTTTAGGAAATTAGTCTAATTTATTAAATAAATTAGGGTGGCCGAAAATATTAACTTAATATTTTTGGATTTTCTATGTTAATTTCAAATATTTTGTAATTATATATATTTTACGAAAATATTTAATTAAACCAGATTTTTATTTATTAAAATCCGAAAATACCATTTAATTAGTTTAGGAAACTAATTTAATTAATTAATTTATAAATATATATGTCATGAAAATAATTAATTTGGGAAGATATTAAAACAATTCAGATTTTTATTATAAAATCCGAAAAATACAATTAATTAATTTAATTTATTTATTTTAACCGAATTAATATAATTTCGGTTTATCTATTTACTTTTTGAGAAATCAAAAATACTATTTATAACATAGGTATATAATAGTTTTATTTATTGGATTATCCATTTTAATTAGTTTTAATAAGACAAATGATTTAGGCGCCAAAATTTAAATATCATTTTGGCTCCAAAACTAAAATACTCTTTAGAAAAATATTTAATTTAGAAAAATACGTCAAATACGAGACTAAAATACTCTTTAATTTAGAAAATACCTTTCAAAAATACGGGGTATTATAGTCGTAAACATGTTTGTAGAAAAAACGGCCTTTTCCGTCGGAATACTGTTTTTCGACGGAATTCCGACAGAATATTCTCGTCGAAAGAGGAGTTCCGGCCACCGAAAAGTCTGTCGAAAATTTCCGACGAGATACAAATCCGCCGGAAACTTCCGACGGAAATTCCGTCGGAAACAGCATAAAAAAAAAATAAAAAAAAAAACAAGCACCACCCCAACCACCCTACCCCGCCCTGTCCAGCCACCACTTCCCCACCTAGAAAATTAAAAAAAAAGGCCCCTTCCCCACACCATCACCACACCATCACCACCCAACCACCTAACCTCCCCCTTAACCACCACCACTCACCACCAGCCCCCACCACTCACCATCAGCCCCTATCCCTTCCCCGAACACCACATCCCCAATTTCCCCCACCACTCCACACCATCACCACCGCACCACCTAATCTCCCCACTCCCCGCCAGCCCCACCACGACAACCGTTCACCCAAAAAAAAAATCGAAAAAAAAATATCCACAAAAACCGTAAAAATAAAATCGAAAAATACAATACAAACCAATCTAAACCAGTAGATTTACTAATTTAATTAGAATTTCATAAAAAAAATGATAAT